TGCTTGGAATTGAAATGAATATACCAGATCCAGTGTTTTTTTGTTCTATTGAACCACCATCTCAAGTAAAATAATACACTTTTAGATAACTTTTATAGTTTTATTCTATTACATAACTATATGTACTAAAATGTGAAATATTAATTTTGTCATAATAATAATAATATTATAGGTTTTATTCTTATTAATATATATCAATTTTAAATTAATATATTTATCAAACACCCTTGCTTTATAAACTATATTTGTCAGTTCCAATATTATTAGAATAGTATCACAGATTAAATAAACTTATTTTATCTGTGATTGTATCCACTCTTTAACCATTATAAAGTTGTAATATTTATTGATTTTCTATTAGGCTTATCAATTATCATTGGATAATGCATTAAGTCAGTTACACAGAGAAGATCCTAGCTTGAGAATTCAATATGACGAAGAAACCGGTCAAACAATTTTAGCGGGTAAATTTTATTAGTATTTATGTCTTTTAAATATCTTAGAATAAATGTAATTAATTTTTAGATTAGGCATGGGCGAATTGCATCTAGAAGTAATTGGTGAACGAATTAAAAGTGAATTTAAAATTGATATTGATCTAAGTCGTCCTCAAATTTCATACAAGGAAGGATTAATGTCTGAAGCAAAAGAAAGTCATAGACTTGATTTGAAAATCGGTACTTAACTATTAATCAATTTATATTTTTATCAACAAAATACTATTTCTCATATGATTTATCTAGTAATAAATTAGAAATATTTACATAATTACATATTAAGCTCTATCATTATCAATGATTGTGTTGCAATTTAATTAAAAAAATAATTTATTTTTAGGTTCAACTATGCACAGTGTTTACTTAGTAATGTCAATATTAAAACATGAAACTAATAAAAAACTTTTATCATTGGATCAGAGTCCAGATAATGCATCCAATACAGCAGCTATATATTTAAACCGATTAAATATTATAACATCAAGTGTGAAAGCCTCTTTGGCTCATGGTCCCAAACTTGGATGTCCTGTTAGTAATTAAACAATATAATATATATTTTAACTATTAGTTATTACCTTTAATTTTATTTTTACCTATACCTACAATAAGGTTATTTAAATTATATGTAACGGCATCTTTTAAAATCTATATTTTAATATGAACTTGTTTTAAAGTAATGCTGTCTATTCTAAAATATATAAAATACATTAAAATTTTTCTTTTACTATCAAATTTAGGATAAAATTGAAAGATAATTACTTATTAGTTATCATTCAATTTAAAAGCTTTAATTTTATCAGTAATTTCTTGCTGTTATTTTAGGCACTGAATTACATTAAAAAATATATTATCATTACAAATTTAGTATGAATTAAAATGTAGAATCAGATTGTAAATAACTTAAAATAATTTATTTTGATATTCAATTTATCATTTTAGATAATATTCTCAATTTTAAATTTTTTATGAGATGTCCTTACTTGTATTTAATCTTTAAAGCCTCATTGTAAAGAAAATTTGGTATGAATTTGTTAAGTTCTGTTATTGGATACATTTCCATACTAATATTGTGTAATATGGGAATGTAATATACTAACATTATGTATAGCATAAGTATGAAAGAATAATGATGAATTTTCACTTTAAAACAAAATTAACAATTCTAATATAGGTAATTGTTTTATAATAATTGGTCTACTTTTTAATTTAAGGTAATCAATGTGCGGTTTATACTTCATTGGTTAGAAATTGGTAAAGGGACATCTGATACTGTCATAAGTTCAGCTGTAAATCAATGTGTTCAAAAAGTGCGTATTCCATTGTTGTCTTTAACTTATTTTTTCAATATTTTTATTAATTCCTATTATTCAAAATAGCTACTGAAATCTGCTAATACAATTTTACTCGAACCTATTATGAATGTTGAAGTTGTGACTGATGATGATCATTCTTCTGCTGTACTTTCGGATTTTGGAAGAAGAAGAGGATCAATTCAGGATATTTCAACTAGATCAAATTATCGGGTAATAAATTGTTTGTAATATTATTTTCTATTATTTATTTAGTTTTATTTGTGTTTTAGGTAATAAATGCATTAGTTCCTCTATCAGATTTATTAGGCTATTCAAAAGATCTTAGAACATTTACATCAGGTACAGCATCATTTTCTATGGAATTTCATTCTTATCAAGAAGTGTCTGCCAAAGATGAAGGAGAAGCAATTAAAAATATTACTGGTTTTTATCCATTTTAATTGTGTATAGTGTTAAATAAAATAAAATTGTTTTGTATTAGTAAAAATGTATTTCACATTTATATCAATCACTAACACATCATATGATAATAAGATATATTCATTGATTATTGATTCAAATAAAATCCTTGATATGAACAATTTATAGTTTTTAGAAAATTAAATGGTACATAGATTTTATAGAATAAACAATTTACATTAAAAATAATGGTCTAAATTAGAGTTTCGATGCAGCCGAATTCAATCTTAAATATAAATCATATCCTAAGAACAAAAAAATCTTCAAGCGGCTATAATATTATGAGTTATGACTGAGTCTCTGAAAAAAAGTCCGAACAAACATTTCTGATTAAATCATTGATCGCAACTTGGTGAAATATGGGAGTGGCAACAAATTTTTTTTTTTATTTCTCGAGGTTAGTGGTAAATTAGACATAAGCCAAATATTTTCATAAACATATCTTCTTATTTATAGTTTTTACTTCCAACAAGATGTACTGGTATCTACCTATATAATATAGTCTGCCTATAGTATGCTGAAGCCAAGTTAATTCTTAGGAATACACAAAGAAATAATATGTGGGTAGTGGGTTTAATATAATTTATATTTAAGTTGTATAAATGTATATAGAAAAATTGGTTAGAAAAACAAAATATCTGTACTCAGCTCAATTACATATTAATAATGTTAAAATATCTAGGCACTAGGCCTTACTCGTTTAATGGAACCGGCTATAAAGATATTTGATATTAAGATTGAAGAAAAGATGGATAGACAGAAAACCGTTCATATGGAGGCGTGGCAAGAGGGTGGCTGAACTTGCTGTTTACTTGTAAGAGAAGGGGGAAGAAAAAGCGTGAATTTAGAATAGTTAGGTTAAAAATGCCGAATACATAGGAAAGGATCTTGGATTGCAAAGGCCACTAGACTCTTTGGCTGAAACAACCGTGATCAGTTGATATAGGTTTACAACCTCGACTTATGGGATAGAATAGAAAGATCTGTTACCGGTTGGGATGTCGGAGCACTATTTGTTTTCCATCTTGGACCCATGTGTAACATACTAAATGTATGATTAACAGAACCAACCTTCTGTTTATAGACATATAAATATGTCATATTTATTGTCCCTTAATACAGCCCTGGGTATATAATTTTGAAACTGATGGGTTCGATTTGAAAGATATTAGCCAATTTTCTAAAGAAATGTTGTTATATATAGCTGATTTTGTATTCCCTAAATGATCAACAAAAATAAAATGTGATATTTGCAATGGTGCATTATTTGGTAACAAAGTAATTTTTTTTATTCATAAATATGAAAAAAAAAGGTTTACATTTTCTCAGTAATAATGTTGTAGGAATGTGTATTGCTACAGAAAAATATTTACAAACATAATATGATCAAAAAAATGTTTAATTAAATGTTATTTATTACAAAACTTAAGAATTTTATTAATAATAATGCAATTATTGATTCAATAAAATAAAACATCATAATGATCAAAATAAGCCCCTTGATAATGATGTTGTTATATTAATAAAAGCAATTATTTAAACTTATTCTGACATTAAAATTAATTATTTCTTGAAAGCACAAAATGAAATTTTTTCTTTGATATTATAGTGTATAATACCATTGATTATAAATACTAGTATTTATAATCTACGGTACCTATACTAAACGCTGGATAATAGAAAGATTTATAATAAATTTAAATATGAAATAGGTAGGTAGAACTTAATTCCAAAATACAAATTTACAGGTGATAATAAGGGCTCAGAATTAAATGCCCTAAAAATAATAAGAAAGTTCTCATAAATGGAGAAATAAAATTAGTCAAAACTCAAAAATTTCTTCAACATTTTAAAAAATACAATACTTTTGTCAAAAAAACCCCCAAAAGTAGAAAATCCGCTAAAAATTACCCCAAAAAATCTATGGTTACCAGTGTTTGGAAAGAACGTCATTCATGCGTTCCCGTTTATGTTTATTGTCTTATTGATCATTACACTCACTCATCTTTTTCAAATAGAATATGAACAACATTTATATATTCAATGAATTTGAACGATTTTTAAGGAGTTTAAATGTATTTATTATTTAGCAAATATTGATTGATAATAGTATAATACTATTATGTATTTATGTTATATAATAATATTATATTGTGAATTATAAAAATAAAATACATGAAATTCCAATGGGCACACCTAGACATAAAACAACAATAATATTATGATTTCAACGATTTTGTATTCGTATTTAAACGATATATAAAAATAAAATAAAATAATTTAAATGAACGCATTAATATTTTCAAAGAACGCGAACGTGATCATTTTTTTAATGAACGTTCGGAACACTGCTGGTTACAACATGGGAGTATTTGAAACACATTTGTAGCTTGGAAATCTTCTGAGCCTTAGTGATAATTAACCCTATATCTACCTATTCAAATAAAAGGGACGAAGTTATAGTATATCATCTTATATACTTATGAAGACGTACAGTACTTGTAACTGGGGAACTTCTGCAGATGCGAAAGTTGATTGTTTTAAGATTTCTTACACTGTGGTAAATAGTAATAAATTATTCCCATTTGATAAAATATAATAAAATCATTATTTAAACTATTGTTTGGTTGTGTTTATATATATTTCATGGTTAGTTATAGATCGAAAATTAAAATTGTTTAAATAAATGTATGTACTTTTCCTATTTATCTTAATGTAAACAAGTCAGTCGTTAAATGACATCCTGTGCATTCACAGCTATCCATTTGAGGTATGAAGTGACTTTTGTGTAAACGCCGGGGAATCCGACTTCTCCACAACTAATGCCCCAAGACACTACTCCAACATTAGTCCATTTTCCGTCTTGTCTTTGAACTAACAGCGGACCACCAGAATCACCCTAAAAATATTGTAATTGTAATTAGGTAAGTATATTATTATAAGTATAAAATTAAAAAAATATTATGAAGTAGGTACCAAACAGGAATCCTTGCCCCCTTCGAACGATGCAGCACAAAGATTTGTTTTGAAAATTGGTTGTGAAAAAGCTGCAACGCACTGGTCATGTTCCCATATTGGTATTGCCACTTCTTGGAGAACATTACTGACTTCACCACCGAAAACTAATTGGCCCCAACCTAATTAATAATTATAAAGTTAATTAATTAATACAGATATAATTTGTACGGCTTTTGACACCTCATTGCCTGGCCTTTGTCTTCCTATGTGGTCGTTAGGTAATGCAATAGTTTGCTTATGAATTAAAATAAAAATAATACATACAATAACTGCTATAGGTAGCCTATTGAATCTATAGAACCAAAACAGAATGTTTAAAAAGTTCATACCAAACAACATGGGAGCAGAGACAAATCTAGAATGAAGTACTAGGGAAGGGGTTGTCCCATTGCTCCGCCTGCATCGGTCCTTTATAGGAGCAATATATAAAAATAATTTAAAATCTAAAATCTCTTATATTATATCCAACCTAACTTACTAATAGTTGTTAGTAAATAATATTGTAACGAACATGTCGTCATCGGCATCGTACATTACTCCTAGTATGCCGAGTAAGGAAAAATATGAAATATATATTATGCTGACGCGATGTTTAGCTGACATCACGTCAATAACCGACCAGAACTCCTGGCGGAAAGTAGTCAAGAGTGAAGAGTGATAGTGAATGGTCGACAGTGGAAGTCGAGAGCGGACAACGACCAAAAGAGGACCTGTGGACGGCCAGCTCACCCACCTCGGATAGCAGCACCCACGACAAGTCGACACCACATATCTCCACCAGTGACCCTCAGTGAAGCTAATCTATAAGTATACCTATCTAATAATTATATTTTAATGTTCTTATATTGTAAGATTTGATTCTAATAACAGTTACAAAATTATGTATATACTTGAGTACTTGCTTTACATAAGGTAACCCTGATCCCTAGCAATAATGTCACACACCGAGGTCGAGTTTCCGAGACCTCGTTAATATAAACAGAACTACACCGAGGGGTGCGACCCCCAGGTGAAGAGGAGACGTTACAATATTTTTAAAAAATGGAGATTTATTTAGTTCTTACCAGCAACAACAGCATTTTTTTTGTACACTTCCATGTTGGTTTTAGGCAAACAAATAGGCCGAATAAACGAACTGTAAATTGTAGGTCTTTTTAACCGTAATATGGCGATGTCATTCTCGTGCGTAGCTTGACTATAGTCTGGATGTAATCTAATATCTGATAGCCTGTAGTCAATGTATTTTGTCTCGTTGTCAGTGGTGAAATCGTATTCACCAAGTCTAACAACGGTATCTTCTTTTGTATGTCTGAAAAATATATGTACATAGTTAAATAAGATGATGTACCACTCGGCTAATCATTGAATGTGAACCCACAATTTAGGGAACTCTTGAATTAAAAAAAAAGGAAAATATCTCAACCAAGGCCTGCCAAGGTTTTTGCACCAAGTTAATTAACGTTTTGAAAATAATATATTTAATATATTATTCCCATTTAGATTTCATTGCTTTTAATTTATCCAATATATAAAATTTATAATTTCACTTATAGTTTATTTACATACATAAAAATGTTGGCCAAAAATGCCAAAGCGTATCTCAAATTTGGCCCACCGTAAAAAAGGTTGTATACCAATGATTATGAACAGTCAAGAAAGAAGAATTATACATAAAATATATTATGTATAATAGCCTATAGGGCACACGTGGCTTATCCATATTGGTTCCTTAATGTATAAAACAAGTCCCCTTTATTTGAAAAAAATCATCATCAATCATCATATCAAAATTCAGAAAATAATGCATTAGGTGTCACTGTGATCAATTAAATTATCGATTTCTCTAAAAGGCCAATTTGTGGAAAGATATTTTATTATTTGAATATGATACAATATATAAAAAAAAAAATTAATAAAAAATATGAATAGTTCTAGCAATGATGTCTAATTAATAATATGATCAATAATGAAAAAAATAAGTTGTATAATTATGTCCTCTTAATATTTTTATCAACTTAGAAATACTTTTTAAAACAATGAGCAGCAGTCAACACAAATCGTCGATTAAGTAATACTCCACCACAGAAATTGATATAGTTAGTCGTTTCTAATAGCACAGCCATCCATGGCCAATCACTAGCTTTAGCATTTTGCACATTCATAATTTTTGATATAGACTTTGTGTTTTGTCCACATTCCAGTTCTTCTAGTAACGGTTTAATGGGTTCTGGTGCTGCTCTATCTATAGCTTTATCCAATTCTGATTCATCGTTGTCATTAGTCATTCTTCTACCTCTTTTTTGAATAACTTTGTCAACAGGGCAGCAAAAGCTCATTAATCTGAGTAAAAAAAATAAAATTATAATACATGATTTTAGAATCAATAATAATCTTATTCTAAACCAGAAAGTAAGAACAAGTTATATTTTAAAAATTGTCTATTGTCTTAATAAAAACAAATTATACATCGTTTACAATAGGATTTTTTGAATACCAACAAACTTTGAACAGGATGCTTTTGTGACTTTTTTTTTGGAAATTAGCACTGTTTTATTACCATTATCTCCATATTTTAATATTTGTTTAAAACTGTAAAAGAATAAACCTATATAAATACTTTTACAGTTTTATATTGAATTATTGAAACCAAAGTTCATAGTTATAAACAAAATGTTTTGTATAACAAGCATCGATTGAAGACAAACAATTGTCAGCAACAAGCAGATACCTACTTAAGTAATTGGTGTATTGTATTCGCTTTACAATGTTATCATGAACCTGTACAAATTTCATCCATTTCATCAACACATCTTAACTAACAACGAACATCACACCAAATAATCTTTAAGAACATAAGAAAGATTTAAATAACTTTTGGAGGTTTTATTTTATTTTTAGATTTAAACCAAAATAGTTTATCCATTTTTTATATAAATAAGACTGTCCCCCTTTTTTCCATTCTGTCTAGACTTCTAGAGGCTAGAGCTACTACATGGGGTTAAATATTTTCACAAGGCTTGCTCCCAAATATGGCCACCGTAGTTTACATTATTCTTTAAATATTTGTACTTACGTACCCATCACAAGTGAGTACATATATATAATACAGACATATAATATTTTTTACTCTCATTTGGGCTAATAATGATAAATAAACCTACCTACTATGTTTTGGTGCCTATTAAACTATAAATCAATTATCCAGACTATCCTTGACATTAATTTGTCCGGATAATCGGCGTTCCACTGTATTTCAGAATTCAACACGTAAGTTAATAATCTATATACCTACATACTATAATAACTAGTGTAACATCAAATTATTTTAAATACCTATTCATAAGAATATTTGACCTAGGTCCTATGCAAAGTTATTTAAGATTAACTTCTGTACATAATATAGGTACCTATTGTAAAAAATTTTAAAATTTAAATTAATATGTCATATTTTATTATGTATTATCTAAATATGCTTGTTATTTAAAATTCAATGGCCATACCTAATTGCCGAGGATTATCTAAAAAAATTTAATTTACAGTTTTAATATAGTTTTATGTGATGTTTTATGTTTTACATAATTATTCATTATTATATATTTTATTTTATTTAAAATCATAATATCTTTAATTGAGATGTTTGCCAATTTTACTATTCAGATTGTGACAGTATAGGTACTTAGATAGTTATTTTATTAATTACAATAACAGTTGGTTTGATAACAATTTACTAAAATATTATACAAAATAATTTTAAAGGTTAAAAATATAGTTTATGATCTAACTATCTAAGAGTCTTGTGCCATACTATATACATATGAAGCATAGCAAAATTGGTACTTAATTATACTGTACTACAATAACAACTGTTATAGTTGCTTTATAGTGCCTTGAAAACAAGGACATAAGAAAAAGTAATTTATTCACTTCACTCTACACAGGTACGTGACGTATTTAACAACTCCAAAAAAAAAAAAAATGAATTGAATTTTATTCAATATTTGATACACTAAGCCTACTATCAAAGCTGTAGAAAGTATTTTTATATAAATTCATATCAACATAAATAAAAAGGTGGGTGTCGCTCTTCTGTACACTAGCCACTATAGGTTACTAGTGGGTCACTGTAATGGATGGTGTTAAATTTTGAATTCAATGATATAATATCATTGTATACGAAAAACGATTCTGAGCGAAGACGGCCAGTCAGCCTATGAAAATAATATATTATATTACCTCCTAAGTATAATTGATGATTTTGTGAATAAAGTAATTTATTTACCTATAAAAGTTGAATCTTATAAATGTTTAACTACAAAATAATTATTAAATTTTAAATTTGATACATTTTGTCAATATTCGAACATTAAAAATAATTTAATTTGATGATTATAAAAAAAATATGCATAATATTTGTAATATGCATATTTGCATATATTTATTTGTAATTAAATAAAAATAAAAAAATTAATTTGAGTTTAAGGTGAACATTATTTTTTTGTTAAAGGTAGGCTTACTTATAAGGGCTCTTGAATTAAATTGTCAAATCTTAGATTTAAAAAGAAAAATTACTATGAATTTCTAACTCAAAATAATTTGCACATTTCCGTGATTTTTAAGTATTTTGTCAAAATTTGAACTTTAAATACTTATAAAAAAAAATTGTGACTGTATTTTTAATACTTATCAATTGCCATTGTAACAATATATTCAGAGCTTTGTATTAAATTTTCATCCGATTTGACCCAATGAATAAATTGAATTGACATTTAAAGAAAAAAAAAATTTAAAACTGAAAATGTCCTTAAACCTCTAAAAACTAGTCAAAATATTTTGGAAATTCGATCGAAACTCATCGAGTAAAGAAAATGCTTATATACACATTCAGTGAAAATTTCATGTATCTACTGTTATTTGTTTTAGAATTACACCAAAATCCAAAATTTATTATGTTGAAAACTGATTTTGCATAAAAATTACTGTTTTTCCATAATGGTTGTTTTGTTTTTCCCTACGCTTGTGAAAACTATTGAATATGTTGAATTTTATATTTTTACCTCCCAAATACACCAGCTACACATAACCATCAAACAAGATACTGTTGATTGTTGAAGAAAATCAAAACAGTGTAACTGCCCCCAAATGGTGATGAATGATACAAAAATTTAAAAAAAACACATTGTTCTGGTCAGAATCTAAAATCAAATAAAAATTAAATGAAAAAAAAATGTGAATTTTTAAACAAAAATCCAAGTGTGTTTTATTATAAGTTATAAAATAATAGGTAAATACCTACCTACATTAAAATATACCAAGTTTTTAAGTACCTATTAAATTTAAAATTAAAATGTCTATTTGTCTATAGTGTTATAGGTAGAGGTAGTCATAATTTTTAATAACTTATTTTATATTACCGGTATTTCAATGAATTATGTTCCTTATATAAGTAATACTGCACCTATTTATGATTTTAAATAAATTTGAAGTTTATTGTAGTATACTTACAATTCATTTCCCAAACCACATTTTTGTTGGTATTCTGGTCTCAAATTTATGTCACAAAATTCGGACCCAGGAACACATTCTGTGTCCGGTCTGCAAACCTGACCAACCTAAACCAATATAATTTATAGATCATCATTCATCATCCAACAAGTTTAATCGCCATTATAATAATTATATAGCTGTCATTACCCGACTTGTGTCCTTTTCAAGTTTAACTCGTACCAGCTGACCTGATAAAAATAATAGTGATTTATATAAATACTATAGCGATTACAGTGCACAGTTATTTTTAATTAAGTTCTTCAATATGTACTGTATAAATGTGTGAAAATATTTACCTGCGGTTGCGTGAAAACCAATGACGAGCAACGTGCACAACAGCGGTAACAAGTAAACGTCAAAATGTTTTAATAACATTTTAAAACAATATGGCTTGATCGTTGTTTTCTTCTCAGGAACAATAGTGTGTTTCGTAGAGCAGTACGCTCATAATAGTAATATGTACCTACCTACCTACTGTACTCTTCGATAACGTACCTACGAGTGTGATGTCATCGGGACGATAATAATTTATTATAATATTATTTCATGTTAATCGTCTATGGGAGTAAAAATACACGCGTCATTATATTCGACATCGGCTAAAAACCGGTTTGATTGATAGGATGTTCTCACTTCTCTGGTTTCGCAAAAACAGTAGGTACCTAACGGCTAATACAACAGAATAGGTAGCTTAATATTCTCAGATGAGCTCTATGAATCGTCCTTAATAACAATAATATTATTTAAAATATTGTGTATAAAATATTTAAATATGTATCATATTATAAACGTTTCTAATAACTATTCTGTCTCCTATTTGTACCCAGTTTCATAGGCGCAAATTGGGGGGGGGGCTTAGGGGGTATTAGCACCCCCAATTTTAAAATTAGCACCCTCTAATAGCTTATGTGTTTATGTATCAAAACTTCTCCTTACAACAAAAAAAAAAAAAACAAAAAACAGTTTATCATAATCAGACATGAGGGTATCAGACTATCAGGGTATAATGAATGAAACAATGAATTCGACAATATTATTGTCATTTAATCGAGTTCAAATCTATTTAGAAAATTAATCATTATTTCCCAATGTCTACTAAACCCGGTCGTCGTTTTCGGTTATATTATTATCAATTATCACGTTCATCAAGGACTCAGCGCTACGACCATTAAAATTAGTATCGCGAATTCGCGAGTATTTACTAATATAAACATTCCCGTGCCCACATCTAATTTGGACAAAAACTTAAAAATTACAAAATACGAATCACTTGTCAGTTGGTGTTCACTGTTCACTTATGAGTTCAAAGTTTCCGACAGGGCGACAGCCTGTGTGATTGTGTATGCCGTATGGTATTAAATAGTATATTATCCTACACAGGGCGTAACAGATAGAACTAACATTTGGAATAACTTTTGTTCTAATTAATATTTGTTTCTTTTTATACTATTTATAATGTCACTTGCGCTACACATATATTATGAAAAAATTATTTTTAACATTGAAAATAAAAATAAAAATTTTGATTTAAATTTGTTTGGATATATTCACAATAACCAATTTGTGAATCTGATTATAAGAACAATTTTGATAGTAAAAACATTTATCGAAGTCAAGTAGTTTGGTTTTTTAGAATTTTTGAAATATCAATATTTTTTTGATTAAATGAATTTGGAAAGTTTAAGTTATAATAATAACTTTTTTCAAAACATTTTTTTGGGGAATTTGCTGACATGAGTATATTAATTCTTAAATTATTTACTAATCTTATAATTTTAACAATTTTTGTCATACGTTTAAGTAGCGTCATTTTTTTTTTCGTCAAGTAGTCTTTGTGTTACACCTTGTAAAGGGTCGATTGCACTGAGCGAATAGTCGTTGGCGAACAAAGTCGAGCATGTGTGAGCGCGTGAACCTGTCCAATTACATTGAGCGATTAAATTCGCTCGCTCGCTACCAGTTACTACTTGCTGGCGCCTGGCACACTAGCGATTTTGTCAGCTAGGGCGATTACATGGAGCGACTTTAGTCGCAACGAGTTGATTCGCCAACGACTAGCAGGTAAATTCGCTCAGTGTATTCGACACTTATACTAATATTTATTTGTCATATTTTTGAATAAAATATAAAAAAGTTGTTTTCAATTTTTAATAAATTAAAATTGACTAGGTATTGTATTAATTTTTATAAAATGTACCTAATACACTATAAGTAATCAATGTTAAATTGTCATAAAAGTCATAATTGCCTCACAATTATAATTTAATTCAAATGCCCAGAAAATGCAGAGCTTAAGCACCATCAGTTTTTTTCTTGAAATTGAGCCTGTGCCCAGTTTTCTGACGGACATCGAGGACTGAGGAGTTTTTTGTAGGAATACTTTGGTTAGTAATTTTATTTATTTCTTTTGATTGTAATTTACGCTATTATAAACACTATAAAGTATAATCCCACCACTGGTCCAAATAAATCGCTGAAAATATATTCGCCTTAACAACTTTTATGTTTGATACCTACTTTAATATACCTAACGATACTGTCGATAGTGCACACAGCACACCACTGCTTATGCCACTCCTTATTCTGTATACTCCTAATTCTATTTCACCTCCTAAATAACGAATATAAAAAATCGAACACAAAATATTGGATTCAAAACAGTTAAAATAGAAATTAGAAATAGCGATCAAAAAATTATGGAAAAAATATACATTTTTTTTTTTTATTAGAAATAAACAATCTATATATAAAATTAAAATTAAAATATAAACGATTACAATTTTTGTCGTACGTTGTACCTTATTTTGTATTAACATTTTGTAAGTATGAAAAAAATAATACAATATTAGTAAACTAATATTTCAAATTACAGGCAATTCCTTTCAAAAAAATTAAATTTTCATTTTCGTCATACCTATTTACTAAGTTTTTAAATCCGTTCAGCAAAAACCCCCTGTACCTACTTCTTTTTTTTTCATCATATTATTCATCCATATTGATACTGCTCATTGCTCATATTTAATTTCCTTCAAATTCCGTTGTCTTTGAAGGCATTTAATAAATTTCCATATTGATGGATTAAAAGTTGAATATATTAAGCTGATTCTTTTTAATTTATCAACAAACTAAATATAATATTATCTATAACAATATGACCTGAACCTTAATATAATGTGATAGCTAACAACTTGGGTCACTTCCATGTTTATTTTATTACTTGCAAAACCAAGGCATACCAATGCATGAAAGCATCACAAAATGCACGTCCACCAAAAAGAGGGTCACTATAGATGGAGCGCTTTTCTTCCTTATCCCGGATGCAACGTGTGGTAGGATATTGCCTGCGATTCGCCAATCGGACCCGAAGGCGCCCTGCGTTGTCGGGACCTATATCACTTGCAGAACAATACCAGGCTCTGTATAGAGTCATCAAATATACTCAACAAATCTATTACTTCGAGTTATACAAGCAAATCGCAGCCCATAGAAATATTGTACCAGTCTCTGTAGCTCAGTTGGCTCCATATCTAGATCAAGCAGGCTTCATTCGAGTCGGAGGAAGTTTGAAACATTGGACACTGAATGACGACGTAGAACACACTATAGTGCCATCACAACGGTGCTATCACACAGAGTTGATAATTTGGCATTATCATCAGCTATTGTTACACGGTGGAGCGAGAGTAGTACTTTCAATGATAACCCGACGATATTGGATAATGTCTGGTCGGGCGGCTGTACGTCGAACAGTTTACTCATATGTTCCATGTTCAAAATATCGGGCCAGCACTCCTAAACCTTTTATGGCGGACTTACCTGCTGGCTGCTTTCCGAGTCACCGCAAATCGGGCATTTTATAACTTTGGTTTGGACTATGGAGGTCCATTTATCGTGAAGGAGAGCCGACGGCGTGGAGCGCGGACTCAAAAGGCGTACTTGACATTGTTCATATGCATGACAGTGAAGGCAGTACACTTAGAGATAGTAACTGACTTATCAAAGGAATCATTCCTCTCGGCTTTGGACCGATTTACCTCGCGCCGTTGAATTCCAGCCAATATTTACTCGGATTGTTGCACAAACTATGTAGGTACTAGGTGCCGCAAAGCAGATTAAGGCCCTGCTCGAAACGAACAATGCTCGACAAGCCATCTCTTCTTGGATTCAGTGCGAGTGGCACTTAAACCCACCGGCCGCGCCCCACTTGGGTGGCCTATGGGAGGCCGCAATTAAGAGCATTAAAAGGGTCGAGTGACCCGAATGATTTAGAAGCCCTCACTCCGGGACATTTTCTGATTGGTCAGCTGTTCTTAGCTATTCCCGAGGAAAATGTCATATATGTCGTCACCAACCGGCTAAGACGATGGGAACTGATTCGTCAGGCTCTCCAGTCATTTTGGCGGCGTTGGAGCCATGAGTATTTATAAACTCTGCAAGGACGAAAAAAGTAGGTAGTTCAAACAATCGGAGAACCTAGCTGTAGGAGATTTAGTGGCAATTCATAGACCTAATCATCCACGATCCACCGATGTCATGGCAACTCGGACGTATTATCATAGAACAGTCAACAGTATTATGGAAGTTCATCCAGGTCCAGACAACGTCACCGTCGTAGCTATTCGGACAACTGACGGTCTTTTCAAGCGACCGGTTGTCAAGGTTACCAATCTACCTGTATAATACGATGCTCACTTTGTACTGGTGCGTATGGACGTTCCATCTTCCATATCCTTGTCTATTATCCACCATTATGTATTTTATTTTGTATTATAATTTATCTGATGTTCATGTATATAATGTTATAGTTTAAATCTATATAATTAGTAATTATCTTAATTTTGTGTATAATTGTAATGCCGTTTACCGCACCAAACTCATGAAGATCGGGACAAGTAGGTTTGAAAGCCCACTGCTTTCAAAGGCTTGAGGATGTTCCATGTTCGGTGCCGACTCCGTCGACGACAGTATTTATTTTAATCACGGGTCAGATAAGCCATAGAATGATCGAAAGACACCCAAATACATTTATATTTATTAGTATTTTTTTTATCTTTTACTGTTATTAGTATCATGAAATATATTATCAAAAAAATAAGTTTTTTGTATTTTTACGAAAAACTATTACCCACCTATCATGTTTAAATATTCAATTAATTATTAATGTTTTTGGGTATTAAAATAGCTTAAAATTATTTATGTAAAATCGTATAAGTCCTACCTATTAAATATTAATATAGGTACCTACTTATAAGAGAAAAAAAGCATATAGGTAATTACTAAAATTCCAACTTTTATTGTATGTAGAAAAATGTCCACGAGATAAAATAATAAGCAAAAACACTAGATACCTACGTCCAATTTGTGGGTTTTAGTCCCTAAGTTCTATAATTCTTATATTCAAAAGATTAAGTCAGACTACTTATTATTATACTTTATCGAGTTGTTTTGATTTTCATGTAACTTATTTTATATTTTTTTTAAATTATTTAAATTGCCAAACGCAGGTAACTATACCTTAAAAACTAAAAACAAAATGTCAAAACTATAGTTAATAGCAATTTCTATACGTATTTGGATCATTAGTTCTCAGACCATTTTTCGGCACCACGTTCAATAACCAAAATGGGAATCCACCCTGGTGTATAAATAACAGTTATTTAAATCTATAGTTTCTGATTTATTACAATTTTTTTTTTTATTAGGTACTTACAAAATCTCTTTCAGCGCTTATATATGGCCCAGGTGCAGGTCTGAGCAACAAATACATCCCTTCGTCTTGAACTAATTTCAGGAAATACTCTAAATCATGTATGTCCTCAAAATTATATACTTCTGGAATATAAACTCCATTCTACATACTTAAAATGTTATTAAAAAAATTATATTTTTATCTGTTGTCAACGAACTTTACTTCCAGACACACAGTCATTAAAATTAGTATCTTAAATTATGATCAATTTACTTTCTTTAATTTCTTTATTTTATAAGTATCACTATTGATATAAAAATAAAATAAAAATATTATTGCAGTATAAAACTACAAGAACAATAAAATACATTTCAATATTAATGTGAGGTTTGCATTGTCATTTGTCTGTTAATAATAAATTATAAGTACGGTGGAGAACTACTTGTATAGTTGTATAGATCTAAATAATCATCAAATATGGACTTACACCCATAAATCATGAATTTTTAAATTAAAAACTCGGATTAATTTTTTTTCTATGTATCCCTCGTACTGACGTACTTATCATACTAAGAGCTGTAACTGCCAATTATCTATTTATAAACAAAATTAATAAATGGAAAATTAATCTAATCTGCAACCACCCTCCAGAGCTTCTAAGAAAAATTTGAGTTCACGAACAGTCAACAACCATATTATATGATAAAAATGTAAAATTAATTTTAATTCAACAACTAAATGTGGAAACATTTGAATCATTGATTGAAAATAAGTATACCTAATTCCTGAATATGATCTGGTTAAATAACTGAATCAAATAAATACGTTGATGCAGAAAAAGTTAGTTAAAATTTAAAATATATATTGAAAAGTATAGAAGAAAGAAATATGCACTTAAAAAAGTTGAACAAAAGTTTAATATGGATTTATAGGTATATAGAATAAAATTATAAAACTTGCTTTGTCTTAGTTTGAAACGAATATGTTTCTTACCCTACTATAGTTTTATAATCATATTTATGACGTATTGTCGTATTGGATGACCACGATACATAGGAACCTATTTATAACACTTTCAAATAAATAGATAATATATAATATAAAGCATTCATTATAAAATATGTAAGCGCTGTAACACTGTACCTATATTTGTTTATTGTTTTTGTAATTTGTAGGTACTCACGTCGATACAGCATTTAAACCAGCTGCTTTCATTTTCTTACGTTCGTAATCAACAATAAAAGTGCGCTCAACTGCCTACGAATAATTAAAAACAGAGAAAAAAGTTTTAAACAGACATTAAAATATATATCAAGGGATCGGATTTTAAAGCATATTATGTTTCTTTTTTTATATATGAAATACAAATCTAATTTTATACATAAATACGTTTTGTGTCATTCTGATTCAAAATAATACAATTAATTTTTGTTTTTTTTGGTTTATTTTTAAGTAAAGGATTTTAGATTCTGAGTGGAACGATGAATGTATTGATTTTACAATGATGTGTGTTTTTTTTTCATTTTTTTATTTTTGTGTCTTTGTACACGATTAGTAGTCGAAATAATGCTTCGATTTTCAACTTCATTATCTTGTGTCGTATACGTCGATCACAGACGTACACAAATAAGCAAACGAATAATAATATAAGCACTTTTATTAAAAACTTTTACGTCCAGTGGCGATCGAGTCACACGATCACCATCTGGCTCTAACACTGGTGGTCAGTGGTAGTCGAGTCACACGACCACCGCCAACTGACCCTCTATCTGTCTTCCCATATTACTTATATATTAATATTACAATCGAAGCACTATTGATAGTATCGATATTAAGTTTAACCTAGTTGCATTATACTTACTGACTATGCTTAAAATTATACTAATTGTTATTGTATTACATAATAATTGATATCTTATCCTAATTTGGTGGAATGCATAATTGTTTCTATGTTGTTACTTAGCTTATTGAGTATTGTATGATTTGATTTGTTTTGGTATTTTACCTGTTACATATGAATGTTTACTTAACCTATTTAACAATATTTTTTATATACTATGCATGATACAACACTTGATTGATAGGAAAGTGAATATTGTTGGTGCATTGGGGAGGTCAAAATTTAAAATTCCAAGTAATTTTAAAAAGTGCCAAGAAAAACAAAAGAAAAATTAAGGAAAACGTTAATTTTTACGCAAAATCGATTTTTCACAAAATTGACTTTGGTTTTTGGTGTAACTTTAAAACAAATGGCCGTATTTACATTCTATGAATATCAATAAAGTTTTATCTGTTTTGCCAAAAAGTGTAAAAATGTAATACAAAGTTCCTGATATATTGTTACAATAGCAGTTGAAAAATATTCAAAATACACATTCATAATTTTTTTTATAAGCATTTGAAGATCGTTTTTTGACAAAATTTATCAAATTTAAAATTGAATAATTATTTTGTAGTTAAAAATGTATAAAATAATGTTCAATTTATATATCTAAGGACTGAAAGTTTAAAACAAGATTCCACGTGTGTAGTTAATTCTGTTACTGAAAAATCTAAAAAAATACATAAGAACAGTTTATTTTTATAGTCATTTTAAGTTCAAATTTGGACGAAATTACATATTAAAAAACCTAGAATAAGTATTTTAGTTATTTTGTTGTGATTGTAGTCATACTCGTTTTAAGTACCTAATGGATATTGTGGTATGAATAATTTGGAATTTATTATAGGTCAATTTTATTTTTAATACCATAGATATGTCTTAAACCTAGGCTGACATACCGTCTCCTCTCAGAATCGTTTTTCTTATACAATGATATTATATCATTGAATTCAAATTTAATACCATCCATTATACAGTGACCCACTTGTAACCTACTGTAGAGCAGAGTTCCTTTTTCTGTTTTGAATTGCTTCTTTTGCAATTATTTCAGACTTGGAATTTTAATATGTTTATAAAAAAGTAATAAACATTTTTTTAATTAAATTCATAAGAAATGTAAAAACCAGGAAACCGACTAAATGGTTATGTGATTATTATTGTTTTTGTTGCAAATCTATCAAAATACATGGTGTCTAATTCATTTTTAATTTAAATTACTTAAATTTTTTATTAAATTGGATACCTAGTTTAAGTTAATTTTGAGTCACTGTCCATCATGTATAGTACAA